TAGCATCACACCCATTTGGATTGACAACCTTCAATACTACAACGACATGATAGTGCTTTACGATTAATTGATCTTAAAAACCTATTATCAGGGTTCTCCGAACTGAGAGTACAAATCATCAGGACAATGGTTGAGATTTTTCGTTGCCTTCTTCATAGGAAGTCAAGGAGGAAGTTGTATTTTCCTTTGATATGTTTCACATCAAACTTCCATTGTGAAAACCAACTCGCCCACCTAAGTAGTTGTGCTTATGGGTCATTTTTGGAAATGATGACATGTCCATCTCAATACGGAAGTGATGGCTCACCATGAGAAACTCAGTTTTTTTAATACCTCTTTTTACTGCGAGTATCTCCTTGTAAGTGGAATGGTAGTGTTTTCACTATCTTTGAAGACTCCACTCTTGTAACCACATATATGCCTTTTTCCTTTTTCATCTTCTTCCAAGAGGACTGCTCTCCAGTAAGAATCACTTGCATCTGTCTGCAGAATTTGTTTTCTTCTGGATGGAATCTTCAAGGCTAGCAAGGTCTTGGAAATTGTTTTTAATTTTTTGACTGCTTCTATGTATTTTTGATCCCATGGAGGAGCGTTTTTCTTGAGTTGAGCTGAGAGTATGGATCTGTGTTCGCCAGAGCATGGAGGAATTCTGACATTTAGTTGACAATGCCGAAGAATTGCTGAACTTGCTTGAAAGAGAGTTCTTCATCAGGGAACTCGTCTTGCTGCGTTGCAATATGAGGCTGAAAATAGTATTCTTCTTTAAAAATATGCATTCCAAGAAAATCTATCTCAGGGAAGGTGCAATCTTTAATCCAAACGGCATGACTTTCCAATGGTAATGTCGGTCTTGTATGCAAAACCCCGTCTTTGGTCTATCTTCTGGTTTGATTCCAAGTTGCCAAAATCCTGCTTTTAAGTCAAATTTCGAGAAGACTTGTGCTTGGGGGAGCCTCTGGAATAGAAATTCTCACTTTGGTAGAGGAAACTTGTCGTTTGAAGGAAATGATTGAGCGGCTGGTAGTAGATAACTAACCTCAGTTTTCCTCGTACTTGTTCGGCTCTTTTGTTAACATAGAAGGCTTCGCATGCCCATGGGGAGGTGGTTTTCTCACTAAGGTCTTCTCTTTGGAGTTAGTCGACTTCTTCGAGAGTAAAATTATAACGGTCTGGATTCATTCCTGGATGGCTTGCTTTTGTTGGATAGATATCCTCATTCTTCTTGAAGGGTAATGATATGAAGAAGTCCAGGTTCTTCCATAAAGGTGATGAACATTTGGTGAGGAACTCTGAATGTGTGTAGCACAAGAAGTATTGATAATCCCGTCTTTGATGGGGTTAATATCTCCATGGGATAGAGATGGGAGATAGTAGTCCATGGTAGCAGTTGGTTCTTGTGCTTAAGTCCCTTTGGATGCCAAGATACTCTCTTAAAGCTATGAAGTACATCAAATCCAAGTATGAAATATTTTCCAGGGAGTTCGGACTCATATACTTTGGCTTTGATCATGTATCCTTAAAAGAGTTGGATGTAAGTGGGCTTGCTGACTAAGGAGATGTGGAAGATCTGGCCATTTGCTGCCTTGAAAGCTACTGAATAGGAATTCCAATGAGAGGCTGGAAGTATGTCTGGCTTGATGATATATGATGCTGCTCCAGTGTCGAGATAAGCAATGACTTGGATGAGCTTGTCATATTTGTTGGGAAACATGTAACTTTTGGCGTTTGCTGATGGTTGAGATATATACGTCAGTTCTTCTTTCTGCGGTTGTTCGACTCTACAAGCATCAAATGTGTAGAGGTCGAATAACATGAATTGATCATCTGTATCTTCTTTTTCTTCTTCAGTGCTTGATTAATATGAAGTCTTCTTTTTGTTTGATATCCATTGCTAGAACTATATCATCGGTTGGTTCATCATCAAGGGAGAAGATTGATTCAATGTCGGAGTCATCAATATCTTCTATCTATGCTAAGTATCCAAGAAGATTATCTCTTTTTTCTTATTTGGGCATTGTTTTGCATAGTGACCTTTTTCTTGCAGATGTAATACCTGTCTGATTTCTTGAAATCTCTTTGTGACTTTTTCCTGAAGAATTTCCACTTCTTTTTGCTAGACAGATGAGGATACTTCTTCTGCCATTTTTTCTTGAATTTTTTTTCTTTCTGATAATTTGTTGAACATCCACACTTCTTCTCTTTGCATTTTATAGAGAAATCTGAACGATCACATGCTCTCCTTAGTAGTTTTCCTTCCTCATGCATCTGCTTGAAGAACTTCTGGTGATTGCATAGCTTTTCTAGTGTCGCAAGAGACATCTGGAATATTTCTCCTAATGAGGCTTGAGCAACTGTTGCATTTTTGAAGGATAACAACCGTGAAGTTTTATTTCCAAGTGGCTCTGGTAATGAATTCAAATACGTCTGTTTGAGATTGACATCGTCTATACTGTTTAAAGCGTAGAATCTTTTTAACATCCTCTCATAATGTTTTTCTAGATCCTTTCTTTTGAAAGAGCAACACTTCATGTTGAGGTATTCTTCTCTTGCTTGAATGGTGTAGTGATCCCATGTTCTCTAAGAAATTCATTGTGGATGTGTCCAATCAATGCATCAATCGAAGGAGTTTGACATTCTTCTTATGGTAATGAGAAACTTATTTTAGTAGATAATATTTGGAAGCATTTTTATAGAAGAGGATTTGCGCCTGGATATTACATATGATTTTTACATGGGGAAGATTTTCAAACTTAGTACTAACCAAAACAATGGAGATGCTGAAAATTGTGAGTTGGAACTTAGAAATAATAATAGTACTGATAAGGAAGAGAATACAACTAGAGATCCAACCGGTGTAATACAGATGGTAATAGATGCTTTTCGCGAAAAGACTGAAAGTGGAACTGGAGAACAAAACTTAGATGCGAAAAAGTTTTTTGATATGTTAGATGCAGCGAAGAAACTAATTTATGATGGTTGTTGATATGTTGCATTTTTAGTGTCTTAGGTCCCTTTGTTTTGAGTCATTTATCATGTCGTAGTCCGTCTTTTGCGTTTTTTTCGTTGTATCTTGAGTCTTTTGCAGGTTTTAGATACTTCTGACAGGATTGGATGGTTTGAACTTGCTCAGGTCGAGAGAGGGTGAGAAAATCTCAAGTGGGGAGAAAACAGTGTAGACCGATTGGTCCTGATAGGACTGATCGGTCTATGCCTCGTCGATTGGGCAGAGACGGTTGGACCAATCGGTCCAGCACTAAATCGATCGGTCCGTGCTTCAACAGACGGCCAGAGACGGTTGGACCGATCGGTTTGATAACATGACGCAAGATTTCAGTTTTCCTTAACTGGATTTATCTTATATTTTCTATAATTGGGTATAAAAACTCCAGAGACCTAATTTTCTATTTACGCTTCTTTTTCTAAAACTTTTTGAGAGCGTTTTTATGTAAACAACTTTTGGAGAAGGATCCATCCTCTTTGACACTTTGGAAAATATTTCTAATCCCTTTTCTTTTATATTCCATTAATCTATTATATCTTCTTCAACTCTTTGTGTTGTTTATTTTCCTATGAGAGAGTAGTCTCTTAATTGGATTTTAAGGTTCTAAGTAGGAGATTAAATGAATTCATGGTTTGATTGTTGTTTGGAGTTTTTTATTTTGAAGTTCTTTGATTCACATGTTCTTAATGCTAGAATAGGATTGATCACCCTATTTTAGAGTCTAGGTTTTTCTATGCATCAAAAGTGTACGATAGAACATTTGAACCAATGCGAATTGAGCATTGTATTTCTAGCCAACGAGAGTTGACGTTAGAATGAATCGTGAACCTAATGAACCTAATTCTAATGCGAATTTGACTAGAAAATTACAAATGACAATTTAGTAGTCAAGTAATCAAATTTAGTGATTAATGTCTTAAGAGGGAATTAGTCTTAACTTGTGTTCATGTTCGAGAACGGCTCTTTATGTTAAATTTCCTGTCTAATATTTTCATTAATCATTGATCTTCAAAATATCCTATGGCCCAATGCTTTTTATCATATAAGTTTAATCGTTTATTTTTTTATAATTTAATCTACAATTCTGAAAATAAAACAAACAACCTCTTTAGTTTTAGTTAAGAACGAGTCTTGGAAATCCTTAGAGTATCTTTGATCCTTGTGGATCGACCTCGAATATACTACCTAGCGGTTAAGTATATTGAGTAATTACTCGAGCAATCAAGTTGGCGTCATTGTCGGGGACCAATTGTGTTACCTAAGGATTTAGGATTAGTTTCTAATCTAAAATATTTTTATTTACTGTTACTGATTATCATTTTCGCCTTTTCTTTATATTTTTCAGGTGTATGATTTCTGTAGCCAAGACTCATCACATCTAGCAGACTACCATAAGGATGGATATCAGAAAGTTTAAAAGAGAGAAAAAGAAAAAGAAGCAGTTAGCTGAGTAGAGAGAAGCTGAAATGTCTGATTGTATTGCTGCAAGAAATATTTTGAGTGATGATGGACTCCAATTTGCTGGAGAACATCATGGAGAGTTTCAGGATCCACCACCTCTTGGAACCATTAATCCTCCTGTTGCTACTGAAAACGTTGCCCGTGTAGCTGTTGCTAATGTTGCTTCTTTAGCTGCGTTAAATGCTAGGCATGCGCCTCGACAAACTCAGAGGGATTATGATGCTCCCAATGTTGAGCTTTTATGAGATATGAACCAACAACTCCCTATCAATAGGAATGATTTTGAGATGAAAATTGGGTTGTTGTCTCTTGTGAATCTGAGAATCTGGTCTACCATTTGGATAATTTTGAGGATATATGTGGGACGACGAAATTGAATAGAGTGCCAAATGTTCTAATCAACCGTAAATTGTTCTCATTCTCCTTGGCAGACAAAACCCATCGCTTGTTTAAGTCTATGAATCCGGAGAATCTGAGAAGTTGGGAAGATTACAAAGCTGCATTCTTGACACAGTATTTTACCCAGTCCAGGACAGCCATTATGAGGAATGAGATCTCCTCCTTTCAGCAAACCGGTACTAAATCATTCCATGAAGCTTGGGAGCGGTTCAAAGTTTACTATAGGGAATGCCCTCACCACGGATTTCGATATGCCACATTGATCAACACTTTCTACATGGGAGTCGATAAGGACTACAAGATGGCGTTAGACACTACTAGTAATAGGGACTTTATGACCAAGACTGAGGAGGAAGCTACACAACTAATTGAGAATCTTGCACCTAGCAACAACAACCACAGTGTTGACTATAATAGGTCACATAAAGGTGTTAGAGGAGGAAAATCAAAGCAAATTGTTGAGTTAACTACCAATGTTGTGCAACTCCAGGACAAATCAAATAACTGTCAATTTTTGTGAGAATTCTGGTAAAGGTCCAGTACATCAAGTGTTCAGCGGAGATGGTTCTGAAGATCTACAAGCAGTGTTGAACTTTGTGAATGGGTATGAGAAAGATCAAGACAGAGGGTTCAACCAGAACTACATGAACCATCCCAAGCTTTCCTACAGGAGTACTAATGTTAAGTATCCTCCGGATCAAGTGTATCCCACTCAGGCAGGGTCACAGGGTCAGCAATTTCAGCCTCATAAGAGTTTTCAGAATAAAGGTAGCTACCGAGGACAATTCCAACTTCCAACATGTACTACTAATGCGTCTTCATCTGGGATAATCAGATGAAATTGATGGTGCAGCAGATTCTTGAAGGTGAGAAGAAGAATGCTGCTAAGATCAATGTAAAGGTGGATAAACCGTACAATGATCTCAATGGGAAGTTTAGAACACTATCCTCACAAAAATCCTTGAGAGTCAAGTCTCTCAGACTGTTTTTGCCTCTACGCGACCAACTGGTGCTCAATCTGGGAAAGTATAACCCAAGAGTAAAAAGTAGTGTTATGCGATTATGATCCACAAAGAGCCTCGAGAGATTGATGTCGCCAAACAGGTGGAAGCTAATGTTGTTGTTTTTTAGACACTTGTAGAGGACATGATTGAAGAGGATGATGAACCACCATATGTGGAGCCGCCACCCTATAGCCCTAAGCTTCCATTTCCAGGCCGTGAGAGACAGATTCAAAGTCAGAAAGAGTATGCACGTTTTGCTAAGATCATGTAACAACTTTACGCCAGACTTTCTTTCTTACAGTTTGTTCTCCATGTTCCAAGCTATAGAAGTTACCTTAAAGATATCTTATCCAACAAGAGGGGCATTAAGGAAGGGGTTATGTTAGTTTCCAAAGGAGAAGAGTATGCTCAGCTGGAGGAATATCAGAGACAATAAAAAGAAGCTTAGCTCACTGATCTAGTAGAGGTGTTAGCAGGTAAAGAGATGGTCAACATTTGTAGTGCCATCCTTCCACCTACTATTCCCGAATAGCAGGTGATTCAGGGAGTTTTGTTTTATTTTGTCGGATTGGAAAATCTTTATTCGAGAGATGTCTTTATGATTTAGGAGCTGGAGTTAACTTGATGCCTCTTTCTATGTCAATACGACTAGGCATCACCAATTTCAACCCTTTATAGATCTCTTTAATTCTAGCAGATCGCTCTATGCGATTTCCAGTGGGTTTGGCTGAGAATGTGCATGTTAGAGTTGGAAATTTTTACATTCCCACTGATTTTGTTGTCTTGGAACTTGCTAAGGAACCACATGACCCTCTCATTCTTGGTAGGCTATTCTTAAATACCACAGGAGCCATAATTGATGTGAGTACAAGCACGATTAACCTTCAGATTGGGGACTTTGCTTTGGTGTTTGACATGAGAAGGACAAGGAAAAATCCCACCATTGAAGGTCATGCATTTTCTATAGACAAAAATGATAAGCCTGGTGCTGAATGTATAAAGGATTGTATTGAGTGGAGTGATATTGAGGAAGTCCTGGATGGAGACACGAAAGATTCTCATGTTACATTGACACCACTATAGCGTGTAGGAAACACCATCGAGTATAAGGTGCAATGTAAGGAAACCTCGAAACCTTTCTCCAAAGCTAGGAGCATTCTCACTTCAGAGTGGAAAGAGAAAGGTGGAAAAGCTGTGAAATGAGTAGTTGGTAAAGTTCTAAGGATGAAGTTGAATGATTGGGACCGGATCAAGTTTCCGCACTCGTGCCCATTGATTAACAAGAATCCGGTCAAGCTAGTGACACAAAACAAGCGCTTAGTGGGAGACAATCTACCAGGTATTCTCTTTACATACATTCATCTTTGTTCTTCCTTATTTCCTTTTGAGTATATCCGACATCTCCTTTTCAAATTGTTCTCATACTGAGACGGTGTGAAGCAAGTCGAGGAGAGGATGTCATTTGTCTACTAATCGAGTTTCCTTTGATTGTTTTCTTTTGTTCATTCGTTTGAGTGAGTCCTTTCGATTTTATCGAGTCAAAATGGTGTCTTTTTATTGAGTCAAAATGTTGTAAGAATTGTGATATTTTTTTAGAAAATTGCACCTTGCTTGATTTCATTGCCTAGGGACCATTTTAGCATTATTCGATAACTTAGAAGGTCAGAAAAATCCATCACTAGATTGCTTTATAGTAGTCCCTATCTCTTTGAAATTTGCAATGAATGGAGCTTTATTTTATATACTTGACCTTAATATGGACTTAATTTATTTCACTTAAAGGCTTGAGAATCATGTAATGGATCATACATTCAAAGTATTCCTTGAATCAGTTTTATCATTCTTTGCTAACTTTGAATGGCTAGACTCATTTATAGTCTAGTACCACACCTATTCCCTTACCTATTGTTTGAAACCTCATGCACTCTTATATAGTCATTATGATATGCATCCATGTGCAAAAACTATGGAGTATACGAACCAACATAGCTCTCCTTCTACTAGGATAGTGTAAGAGCATCATTAAAAGAGGGAATTTTAGAGGTTTCTTAGGGTAATTAAGGATTTAAATTCAATGTTAATTGATGAATGAACTTTAGAGCCGCTCTTAGCTTGGAGGTGCTCTGAGGTTTAATGCGGGGTGACGTGGCAACAATTTCTTAGTTGTATTGGGAAATATTAAAGCCAAAAAATTATTCCCGTGCATTTTCTTCCTCCTCTCTTTCTCTCTCTCACTTCGGCAATAACGCCGAGCCAAAGCAAAAAAAAATTGACGCGATTTGTAACCCACCAGTGTTTCTAATGAGAATCATCTTCATCATGATTTGTTATCCGACGGTGCTTTATATGCGCGCTCTTCTTCCTGGGAATCTCCATCATCATCATGGTTGTCGTCATGGTCAACTATTTTCACCAGATCTCCGGTGAAAGCTTGGAAAATCGGAGTCAAATCGTCAGCAATTAATTTGTTAAGATAAGAACGCCTCTCCTCTTGTATTAATTGATGTGATTTTAGTTTTTAGAAATTAGGGTTCAAGGGAATTATGGGTTTTGAGTATTGTCGATTAAATTGATCCTCTTTTGTTTGTAATTGTTTGATTCTTTGGTATATTTTGTGCTTATTCCATAATAGGCAAATTGATCGGTTAAAGGAAATGATAAGAAAGGAGTAGATTTATCGTTTTCAATGCTTGGCTACTTGCATTTCTGTGATTCATTTCTTTCAAATTGGTTATGTTTATAGTTGGGATCAGATGCTGTCAACCAAAAGAACATGATACTTTTGAGGACGATTCACTGACTTTTCATGCATCGTGTTATGTAGCAAAAGTAAGGAAATGATAACTAACTTGCTTGATTTGGCAACAATATGCTTTCTATGGTTACACATTTTAGTCTACAATTAATTTTTGGATTTTGGCATCGAAGGTTCACTCCTTTATTTGTTCTGTTTCTAGATCACTTTGAAAGCATTGGAAGGGATGTTTGAAGCTGCAAGAGCTATCAAGAGTTGGTTTGGTAATTGTGCAAGAGCTATCAAGAGTTGGTTTGGTGATTGTACAAAGGTCACTTCTTTTAAAAACAATTAGTACTATACTTGATTTGATTGGTCTTAATGTTGCTATCTCTAATATGTTTAAGTTTAATTACATTGCAGTTGTAAGAAGGAGTGTGCATCTGTTGGAATAGTGTTGTCTTCTTAAAGAAGTTATGAAACAGAATATGGTTAGAAGGTAAACGTCTCTTCCTTTTTTCATTTACTCATCAAAGTTGAGTTGAGAATTAAAAGTATTTACTAGGTCACATTTATTGCTTATTGCTTGTTGAATTTAATTTATTGCTTATTTACTTTGATTAGGTAAAGTAATAAGTGTTGACATTGATTGCTATTTCAACAATCCATTAACCAAAACTTAAAAAGTTACCTTATATAAGCAACAATTATAATCGGAGTTGTACAAACACCTTCTTAATTCTCTTGCATTTTGTTTTCAAGCTAAATGAATCCCTTTCCTAACCAAGCCAATTTCATTGATCTTTTAACAAGTCAACATGAAACCCCAAACCGTCAACCCAACCCTTATGAGACACATTCACCAAGTATTAAACTTGGTGAATCTGAATTCCTTGTCTTTAACACCCAATGGCATGAATCACATCTTCAAGGTGGAAACACAACTACTAAGCGCACAACTACTACGAGGAACAAGTGGACAAGTAAAGAAGATATCGTCCTCATATCTACTTGGCTAAACACAAGCAAAGATTCAGTAGTTGGGAATGAGCAGAGAGCTGATGCTTTCTGGAAGCGTGTTGTAGTTTATTTTGCAAGTACTCTGAATGTTTCTAGTCAGATAAAGAGAGAACCAAGCCACTCTAAACAAAGGTGGGGAAAAATCAACAAGATTGTATGCATGTTTGGTGGATCACATGAAGCAGCAAACACTCAGATGGCGTCTGGAATGAATGAGGATGTTTTGATGAAGTTAGCCAATGAGATTTACGAGAATGATTAGGGTTTTAAGTTTAGCTTGGAACATGCTTGGAGAATATTAAGACCTCATCAAAAGTGATGTGCATCACTGCCTACTGAAGTAGCTATCACGAGTAAGAAAAAGAAGGCTGAGGCAAAGAAGGCTGAGGAAAATGAGTCTCCATCTGTTGTGAATCTTGACGATCACCATGGAGAGACTGAAGCTCGCCCACCTAGTGTGAAGGCTGCCAAAAGTAAAGGTAAAATGA